TCCTGTCATATGATATGAAGCTCCTGTGTCAAGTAATCAATTTTAAACTCATGAAAGGAAGCCCACTGTTCATTAGTCAAAGTAGGAACCTTGTCTTCCATGTTCAGCACATTATCATTTCCGAGCACTGGAGAGCCCATGTTCGGCATAATTTTTATTTGTATTAAAAAAAATGAAAACAAGGTTTAGAACCTGGGTCTTTGATACCATGAAGAAACCGACATGTATTACTTTGTATAACTTGATTTGTTGGATTACATGTGATCGTACGTACATATAGATATATACAAGTATATAGAAATGCTCATGTCCAGCGGTTCGGACAGGAGACGCCGTCCGAACACCGCCGTTTGGGACGGTTTCTGGTGAATTTTTTTGATGAAAGTTTGTGAGAATATTTCTCATGAAGTATAGTATATCCACAAAAAGTTTCAGCTCAAAATTCGATCGTGAAGGCAATATAAGTTTTTGAAGTTGATTGCTTTTTTCTATGTATAATTTGGCTCAGTCAACTTCAAAAAATTGTTTGACTGCCTTCCTGATCGAATTTTTAGCTGAAATGTTTAATTTGTGGATAAACTAGACTTCATAAGTAACATGATCAAAAAATTCATCAAAAAAATTCACCGAAAACCGCTCCAAACGGAGGTGTTCGGACGGTAGCTCCTATCCGAACTGCTGGACAAGAGCACTTCTCTATATACTATCGTATATATTACAAGCAACTCAAATATATGGATAGTATTGAAAACTACCGTATGCTACAAAAGGGAAGAAATAATGTGCTACTAATGCTACGGTTACAAAAAGATATTCATCTAGAATAATCCGCATGCACATATCTAGAATGCTTCACAAATACCATTATTCACCTACTTCAACGATTTGAGATCGTTGCCGCACGGCAGAGTGCCTTGCGGCATGGAGGCCGTCGGATGAGAAAAGCCACGCCTCGAGATCCCTTACAACGATTTAGTTATTGTTAGTTCATTTGATTTATCCAAATCATTTGTTGGCAAATGCAATAGTTGATAGTTGAGTAAGACTGCTAATTTCAATATATGGTGAAGAAAGTAAGTATTCCTCGTCAACAAATAGGCAGGAAAAACAGAAAATTTTAAGGGAAACATCGTATAATGTACTAATGTAGTACAGTAGTACCGATTAAAAAGAAATTTCATGGCAATTTTTTTAAATAAAGAGATTTTTTCATGTTTACAAACAATCATTTGTACGTTTTTTTATGGAACAGTATATGAACACCTACAAAATGAGTATGTAAGTGAAGTAGAGGTTATTTGATAATATATAATCGTAGGTTGAATATAAGGCGGAAGAAGGGTTGGACAGAAAAAGAACCATGAAAACGTTAATGTCCCTTATTATATACTCAGTAAATATATTTATGATCCTTATAATTTTTTTATTTTCTAGGAGATATATGTCGATATTATCATTTGTGACACAAGTTGGTGGGTCTTTTAACTTATGCAAACTCGAAGAAGGAAGTTTTTGCAAAGTCAGAAAAAAACAATTTTGCAACATTTTCAACACATGCAAATACACATGACTTAAATGCCCTGACTTGTTTCTTCTTCTAATAGTTAATACTAGCCTAATGTAGAGAAAATTGTGCGAAATAGGACTAAATCATACAAAGTCTACATGATTAGGATCTACTTAGTTTTTTTCCATCTGTATGCTCTATTTAGTTCTAGTTTTAGGAACCTTGATTTTTTTCCATTTTACCCCCCACCTTACACTGCTATAACAGACATTAAATAGATAATAAATAGACAATAAGTAGACAATAAATAAATAATAAATTCTGATAACAATAATTTCGATGTTTCCAGTGATGAAACTGCTTTGAAAGGTCGTCAAGAGGCATGGCAGCAGTGGCGGAGGAGATTGAGGGAGGAGGTCGCTGCCGGAGGAGATCGACGAAGGTGGTTGTTTCCGAAGGAGACCAGGGAGGATGTCATCAACGGAGATGCCGGAGCTTGACGCTGCTGGCGGCGGAGTGCACTGGTGGTGCCGCTAGTGAGCGACGATGCCGGATTGCAGTGGTTCCACTGTCAGTGGGCGGCTCTCCCTCGATCGAATATTTCTTCACTAGAAACTTCCTTGAGAAGAACGCTTCTCTAGTGTTTGTGACTAAATCGTAGATCTCCGGTGATGTTGTCCTTTCGCGTTTTTAATTAAGGGCATAATTGTCACTCCATCTTAATTAGGTCGTACGAGTTGCATTGGTCTTAGTTTAGGAAATCTCTTATGATTTGGTCTTATTTGAGAAATTTCCCCCCTAATGTATGCCGTTTGACATTATTAATTTCTCATACTTTTCACTACAAGAAATCCGGAAATTATTGTCGGATTTTTTTGTCCGATTTTAAATCGGACGGTAATTAGTGTCGGATTTAATGTCGGATGGTCATCTACAACCAATTGGCGTCCGATTAGAGCCGCCACTATTTGGTGACGGAAAGCGTGACAGATATGTGATAGACACTGATTAGTGGCAGATAGTAGTGACGGAATTATCCGTCAATAATTAGAGACAGATATATCTGTCACTAAAATCCATCACTAAACTTGAACTTTATATCCATGGCACTACCACCGACACATCATTCCACCACACACATATCTTATCCTTATCTCTCTATCAAAATAGATCTGGACGGCATTTCAAGGTTAGGGCTCTTACTTTTAATTATTATTTTTAATTTTCTTATATTAATTAATTGATTATATATAATATGATGTTATTCTTAAATATTTAAACTAAAAATATGATTTCATATTTTTTTCTTGCATGTACAAAAATATTGAGTTCTTAGACCTTTTATTTGAAGAAAGTATCTTTTATTAACCTTTTGTAATGATTAGTTAATTATATGTATAGATGAATGATTATTAGTCATCGTTTTGGTTGTATTAACATAGATTTAGGTTATATTGAAATAAAATGGTCCATTCTTTAATGGTATAAAAACATTCACATTATTTTAGTGTGATGAACTTTAAATTTAATGTTAGGTTAAGATAGTGAGTATGAAAAACAATCTACTTCTTTGAATATATTCGTAAATGTGTATGGTGTTTGTTTTCAAAAATTATAGATTTGATGCCCTAGTTTGAGAAATTAAAGTAATAAATATAAATGAAGTTTTTAATTTTTTGTTGAGAAAGATAAACAAAAGTGGTGGATGTTTCATTTAGTATTTAAATACAATATTTAGGTGTTTGTGAATAAAATAACATAGTTCTTTAAGTATTTAATGTGATTCCGTCAACAAAAGTATTTAATGATATGAATAAATAACATTATTTAGTATTATATCTTGTATAGGTTTCTAAATGAGTCACGATAGATCATGGATGTACAAAAGACTTGCAAGACGAGGGGTTCTAAATGAAAATTTCAAGGAAGGAGTTATCGAGTTTATTCAAGCGGCGGTAGACTTATATCCAAGCGGTGTTATTGCATGTCCTTGTAGAACGTGCAAGAATAAAAAGTGGTTGACATGGGAGATTGTTAGACAACATTTATTTGAAAAAGGCTTTGTGGAAGACTATTATGTATGGGTAGCACACGGAGAGCCAAACAATTCAAATGGTTTAATTTATTTGGATGAGAGTAGCTCATCTCGTGGTAATACATCTGGAGCGCAATATGATCCGTACAAATCAATGCTTGAAGATGCTATGAGGAATGATCTCCCAATGAGATTTGACCACAATGAGACTGGAGAGGACGAACCTTGTCCAGTCACAACATAGATGTACGAAATGTTAGATACGATGAGTCAACCGTGTTTTGATGGCTGCCCAATGACGCAGTTGAGTGCAATGACAAAAATGTTGAATTTAAAGACGAAGATGAATTTATCAGAAGGTGCAACTGATAGAATTTCTCAATTCATAAATAGGTTTTTCCCATCAAACATTCCAAACAAACCAATTCCTAATTTCAAAAAAATAAATAAAAGAAAACTATATGTGTTAGGAATGAGTCATCAATCCATTGATTGTTGTCCGAAAGGGTGCATGATATATTGGAGAGCAGATAGTGAGCTACTGGAGTGTAAATTTTGCTCTACTGCAAGGTATGACATTAGCAAGCAGACAAATAAGTGTATTCCTCTTGCAAAAATGGAGTACTTTCCTCTTACTCCTAAATGGCTGGCAGGTGGTTTGCAACAAAGACAAGTTTACAAGCAATCATACACGTATTTTAGCTCTCAAAAACACTTTCAGCTACTCCGAAAATTCCCAAGTGTTCTGTTATTGTTCCAGTTCACCGGGACTTTCATTTGTATGCTCAAACGTTCGTTCGTTAGCCACCGTATCCTGGGAAACGGTCGTTCCAACGCTCCTAGCACCGTGGGAGGCGACGAATACGTTTTAAGGAAATCGTGCGTAGCATGAGCTCTGCCTAAAATCTGCTCCATCTATTTTCTGTTTTCTTTTAACTATTTTATTTATTAATTAATTTTATTTAATTAATATTTCTTCGTTTTTCCGAGACACACCCAACAATCTTAAAACGTATTCGGTGATTGTGTTACTGTGGTAAACAATCTTAAAAAGTAGTTTCATAAGCTTGTATCACACGGATACAATCTTAAATCGTAGTTTGTCACTTTGGTGAACGAACTTATTTTTTTTTGTGTTTTCGGAAAATGTAAGAAAACGTTAAAATGGCTTCACGAGAAATTGGAAATGTTGGTGGGCAGAACGTGCCAAACGATAATCACTCTAAAAGTGGAGCACCGATGAACAATGGTTCACAACGCGGTGCATCTACTTTGGGCAACCAAGGGGCAATTCTTATGGTTACCGTGTCGAGCAACTATGTGGAGAAACGCGATTTGATTTGCAAAATTTACTATTTGGGTTGTCCTAAAATGATTTTCCACTTTTTATTTTAGGTATGTAAATAAGAATAAGGTGTGGGCAAAAGTGTAAAAAGAAAGCTATGGGGGTGAAGAATGCTGGATGAACTCGTGCTTGAGCAGTAAAATGAAACAATAATGTTTTGTAACAATTGTACATTAGTACAGCAATTGAATTATTCTAGCATCGAGTTTTTGACGGGAGAAACAAACACATTGTTCCATTTCTTGCGAGTGCTAGTGGAAGATGATGAACTAAAGTTGATATGTTGCCACTCGGAACACCAAGCAGTATACATCTTCACAGAATCTCTCAGAACCGCATCATTCCTCAAGCCAAGGAGTACGATTGGAGTCCCAGAGCAGAAAGATCTCTAAACTGAGCTCGTGTAGTTTAAGGGAGGGAATGTTGGGAAAGTTGGTTTCATTTGAAAAAATCAATTTACTTGATCCAGTCCATTACTGGGTTTTCTTATTTTTACGGTATCTGCTATTTTTTTGCATTCGGTGACGTAAATTCCATTTTCTGTGTCATGTGCTCTGCAATGCGTGATGAATACAAATTGTTCTTTTTTCCCTTCAGTTTATATCTTCTTTCCGGTTCTAAGTGTTTTATGTTATGTTGATTCATGTGGCTTTCTTCTACATTATTCTTTCCTACCAAGTGTTCGACAAAATTCTTGTAAGAGTTTTTCAAAATCGATTTTACTAAATAGTTTTTGTAGATCTTGAAGATTTTTTGTCACATGGTGCTTAAAGATGTTAGAAGTAAGTGTCTTGTTGACTGAGTATGAGTGAATATAAAATCTCTAAATTTCATCTTGGAATTCATAGTCGGATAGAGAGGCTCTTAAAAAGTCCGTTTTAGTGCAGGAAAGGCGAGTTTTTTTAATTTTTGTTTCACTGCTCTTTTAATCTTCATCTTTTTAGTTTAGAGAGAGCGTGTGATGCTAAATATTGTGCCCTTATTTCACACAAATTTACTTGGTTGTGTAGGCGTGTAGCTAGTTGAGTTTATTCAAGTATGGCTGCAATATCATTATGTTCAAGAAGAAACATATCTACTTTTTGTTATCTCTTGGACAGAAGAAAGCAAACAGGTAGGTTTCATGTTCTTTTCTTCTCTCAGTCTATTTGATATTCCCAATTTAATGCAAAGTTTTGTTCGATTTGCTTTGGTATTACAACAGACAGCGAAATTGTTAAAATGTTTCAACTTGCAAGTACTAAAGCGAATGCAACAAGCTATCCATTAAACCGAACATCTTCACTAAGAAATGGTGCTTCAAGAACGTTGGATGAGAGATTTATAAGGATCCTGAAGATTTTCAAGTGGGGTCCTGATGCAGAGAAGGCTTTAGAGGTCCTAAAGTTGAAAGTGGACTGTCAATTGGTTCACGAGGTACTGAAAATAGACGTGGAGGTGAGTAGCAAAATTGCTTTTTTCAAGTGGGCCGGAAAAAGAAGGAACTTTGAGCACGACTCGACCACTTACCTGTCTTTAATCCATTGTCTAGAAGCTGAAGGGTTGACCGGCGAGTTATGGAGGACAGTCCAAAAAATGGCGAGTGGTCCTTTCGTTATTTCCCCCAGTGATCTCTCTGAGATTGTAAGGATTCTTGGGAGGGCAAAAATGGTAAATAAAGCCCTCATTGCATTTTACCAGATCAAAGCTCGAAAGTGCAAGCCTACAGCAACAACGTATAACTCGGTGATTCTCATGCTGATGCAAGAAGGTCAGCACAAGAAAGTTTACGAGATCTATAACGAAATGTGTGAAGACGGTAACTGTTTTCCAGACACAGTGACCTACACCGCACTGATATCAGCATTTGTACGACTGGGTCAAGATGATTATGCTCTCAGGTTGTTTGATGAGATGAAGGAAAATGGTTTACACCCCACTGCAAAAATATACACAACCCTGTTAGGTGTTTATTTCAATAAACATGGTATTGAAAAGGCATTAGGGTTAGTCAATGAGATGAAGGAAAATGGTTGTGCTCCAACGGTTTATACTTACACTGAATTGATCAAAGGATTAGGAAAATCTGGTCGGACTGAAGAAGCTTACTCTATATTCCTGAACATTCTAAAAGAAGATAGTGTTAAGCCTGATGTAGTACTCATAAACAATGTCATAAACATTCTAGGAAAGGCTGGACGTTTAGATGATGCTCTTAAACTGTTTGAGGAAATGGAGCTGTCCTTAAAATGCTTTCCCAATGTGGTGACATATAACACTATTATAAAATCACTATTCCAATCCAAATCTCATGTGCCTGAAGTTTTATCATGGTTTGGGAAGATGAAGGCAAGCGGTGTTGATCCGAGCTCTTTCACTTATTCAATATTCATCGACGGGTATTGCAAGACGAATAGGGTTGAAAAGGCTTTGATGTTACTTGAGGAGATGGACGAGAAAGGGTTTCCTCCCTGCCCAGCTGCTTATTGCAGCTTGATAAACACACTCGGAAAAGCAAAACGGTATGAAGCTGCAAATGAGCTGTTCAAAGAGCTTAAGGAGAATTGTGGGTCTTCAAGTGCTAGGGTATATGCTGTGATGATAAAGCATTTTGGCAAATGTGGACGTTTGAATGAGGCCGTTGACCTTTTTGAAGAGATGAAAAGGATGGGATGTGATCCCGATGTGTATGCGTACAACGCTCTTATGTCGGGGCTGGTAAGGGTGGGTTTGGTAGACGAAGCTCATTCCTGGCTTCAGCGAATGGCGGAGAATGAGTGTGTTCGTCCTGATATTAACTCATACAATATAATCCTGAATGGTTTGGCCAAGAATGGTTGTGGTTCTACAAAACCTGCAATTGACATGTTTATGAAAATGAAGGAATCGGGAGACATTAAACCGGATGCCGTCTCGTACAACACTGTTCTTGGATGTCTCAGCCGTGCTGGTATGTTTGAGGAGGCTGCAAGGTTGATGAAAGAGATGAATGTAAATGGTTTTGAATACGATGTTATTACGTACAAATCTATTCTTGAAGCAGTCGGTCAGATTGATGAGGATCTCACAAGAAGAGCATTGTGAAAACTGTGCGTCCAAAAGCTCTATACTTCAATATGCCTCAAAGGAATGTAGGACTCCCTTTAACCTCCCTATATACACCATTCTTCTTAAAAAAGGTTTGTCCTTTCCGATCACAGTGTTCCCTAGGTTCAAATTCAGGGAATGACATTTAGCGGCAATCATGTTAAGCATGAGGTCACTGCAAGTACCCTGGTGCAAATGTTACACCCTGCGAACTGTACTGTATTCGTTATCTGATTTAACTCCTAATTAACTGTTGGTTGGGGGCAGGGGGCACAGGGATGGGGTTGATCCTATTAAGGAACAGCCTGCATGCTCTTTATTATTTGTTCTGTACTATGCCAAATCCCAAAGTGGGAAACTGTCTGAAGAGTTGTTGAGATACATGAACCTTGTGAGCAGATGGTTCATGGTTGATGCTTCTATGGTCTTGAAACACAACAATGACTTGCAAGAATTTCATCCAGTGTATCCATTGCTGCCAAAACATCCTGACATTAGTTCCAGTGAATCCGTGGCTGCACTTTTACACACGTGGCCGGGTGTACTAGATTAATGGTAAACATGACCTATTAGGAAACATTACCTAGATATCGTGTTCTCGAGAGATTTTTTCCAGAAAATATATAAAAAAAGATGGAAAGGAGAGGGACAAATTCTATTACTCTTTTTTCCTTGCATCATCTCATTCATGTATTCATTCATAGACATTGGGGGAAATAATAATGTTCTCAACTTAAAGGTCACCGAGTCACTGTATATGTTACATTAGTTTTTCATTTTATCATTATTTTACAACTTTAGTTAACTGAAGTACTCCATCAGTATGTCATCACTCATTATCCTTTTAGTTATAATGTGTGTTTCTAAATACAAATATGTGAAAAGGACTCTAGAATGAATGGAATTTATATTTATTTATCATAATAAGTACTCCCTTAGCGGCTTAGCCTCTTTGTCTCATAAAATTCTTTCGGGTTTGACTTGGATTGGATTTTAAGAAAATGAGAATAAAGTGGAAAAATATGTTTGTGGTTGACTAAAAAAAGATAAATGAATGTTAGTCACACAAAACTTTTCAATTGCGTATAAAGATATGTTTTAAATGATAAATTGAAGAATACTGAATGTATGTATTCATCATTGCTGTGATATATCTCCGAAGATTTTTTTTTTACTTTGCCAAGTTACCGCAACAAAATTGTTTTGATTATCACATCATTGATGCTTTATAACCTAGTAATCCACTGCAAATGCTAAATTGTAAATTGGATGAGTATATGAGGGCAAAAATTGTTTTTATTATCACATCATTGATGATTTATAACCCAGTAATTCGTTGCAAATGGTAAATTGCAAATTGGATGAGTATATGAGGATTGCAAATTGCATGTCAAAAAATCAAACCTCCCAAAAAAATTATCAATTTAATTTAATGTAAAATACGTGGATAAAACTACTTTAATCTCGTCTACAAATCTCAATTATACTATTTTTACTTTAATATAATTATTTTCATTTTTATGAATTTAAATTGGGGCACCTCCATTAACCAATTTGAGTTAGGATGTTTTTACTTGGACTGTAATTTGCTGGTCTGGTCTGGTCTGATCTGGTTCTTTTGTATTTTTATAACTATCTAAGTCTGGTATGGTCTGGTCTGATCTGGTCTGGTTGCACACCTAAGCTGCTCTTTTTCTTGAGCATATATACAACAAAACTTCCCAAAAATTAACAATTACTCGCATATGAGCATGTCACAAAGGCTCTGTTTCTCTGTTCAACAATGGGAAATCTACAGAAGACAGGACCAGAGAGAGACAGGAAAGGAACCTGAAATTTTGCCATTTTCGAGATAAAAGTTAAAGCCTGAAGCGGTGGGTAATCATCACGGAGTTTAGAATTTTGGAAGGAGGCGAGAAAGACTATGAATCCATTAGTAATTTAAGCACAAAAGAATTTTGAAAATTGGAGAGAGAGATGGAAATAAAGGGAAAAAGTAAAGCGAGTAGGAACATAAAGAAGGAAGAAGAGTTGAAAAGAAGAGTTTTGGTGGGGAAAAGAGGGGGCAATTCTACTCCTTCACAAAAATGGAGATATGGGTTGGCTCATACTGATGGTTCTCTTGTTCAAGATCCTACCTTTCTTTCTACCCCTCTCACTGTTAGAAAACTTGGGTCTATTTTGTGGGAAATTCAGCAACCCCACCTCCTATTCAAGATGAACAAAGCTCAATCCAGGTTCAACTATTCCAAAGACAAAGGTTTTCTCCTTCCTTCCCCACCAGATCAGGTTAATTTCTGATACTTCGTTATGTAGGAGGCTTTAATTGCTGTTATATAATTTCAGTATACTGGAATTCCTGAGAAAGTGGAAATAGTATTGAATTGCACATTTGAATGATTCAAGACTATAGGTATTTAATGGACGCTATGATTAACACGATTCCGGGGCTGGAAAATGGCAGGGATGGAATGAAAGTTAGGAGGTTTTTTTAGGTTTGGTTTTATCTTGTATAATATAAAGTAAAATGAAAGCTTTATGAAATTTTACATATGTTTAGAACGAGTTCGGACATTTTTTTTAAATTGATATATTGTGTGTGGAGCAACTTTTCTGTTTCATCTACTGAATTTTCTTTCCGATTATTCTCTTTAATTCCCCCCTATGTTCTAACCTTTATATTTTCTAAGTTCCAAACAGACCCTAAATATTTATTCCACGGGGTAAGGCTAGGGGTGAGCATATATGTTTTTATCGGTTTCGGTTCGGTTTGGAACAGGTTGGGATAACTATTACCAAACAAAAACGATACTATTTTTCGGTTTGATTCAATTCAATATGGATTTGTATTTTTTAGAAATATATGAAGGTTTTATTAGATTTCTTTAGTTGGTTCGGTTTTGTTTGCATTTATCAGTTTCCGTTCAGTGTGGTTTAATACGGTTTGGAAGAAATACTATCAAACTCAAACCAAATTGTATATGGTCCGGTTTCGGTTCGGTTAAACCAAACCGATATGCCCACCCTTATGAGTCTATGGTGATGATTGAAAGATGATTGGTGTGAGTTGGTAGCAGACAAGTTATTGTTTGCTTAAAGATGCTTGGTTTTATTCTTTTATAACTGTTCAATCTGTTTTTTTGTATTTATTGCACCAAGAGATCATTTTGCCTTTGTCCTTCTGGCAGGCAGCTGATGATTCAAGCAGGCATGTAGCTGCATTAAGGAAGCAGCATAATCAATCTATTGCAAAAAATGGTGATTCTATACTGTTTGATTCCCTTGAAGGTTGCAGTAGCTCAATGGAGGTAATATTTTATCTTTTGCCCTTCCACAATTCCACTTTTGCTAAATTCCCAAATAGAACTAACAAAGAAAGACATATATTCATATTCTCATGAATCGAATAGCTAATGGATTGGATACAATCTTTTAGTGTGGTTTGACACACTTCCAATCAGAATATGTCCATTTTATACGCGCATGTGTTTGATACAACTATACAAGTGATATTTACCAACAGCCTTTTTTGGTTTGCCAGATTTCACCTTGTAGACATGTGTTGCATCCCAAGGGTAGAAGCGGAAATACAGATTACCACCTCAAAACATCCACAGAGCTACTACGGGTACTAAACAGGATTTGGAGTCTTGAAGAACAACAAGCGTCACATATATCGCTGGTTAAGTCACTTAAAAAGGAACTATGTCGCTCCAAAATCCAAATTAAAGAACTCCAAGAAGAGAAGAAGAAGATCTACAAGAAAGGCCCAAATGGAATGGAGAAGTTACAAAATCCAGAGGATAGTCAATCTTTCTTTAATGCAAAGATAGAACATGAACGAGAAAGGAAGGCACGGACTATGCTGGAAGACTTATGTGATGAGTTCGCCAAAGAAATAAAAAAGTATGAAATAGAAGTACGGTCCTTGAAGTCCAAATCAAGAAAAGATCAGATGTTTGAGGATCCAAATGATAAATTGATTCTTCATATTTCAGAAGCTTGGCTAGACGAGCGTATGCAGATGAAGGCCATCGAGGGTTCTGATAATTCAGATAACGAAACAATCTTGGGAAAGTTAAGCTCTGAAATAGAAGAGTTTCTCAAATCCAAAAAGTATGTCAATGGCAGAAGAAATCACGTGCCATTGTTGAATCAAGAAAACAAAAGTGCTCCACAAAATGAGATTGTTGGAGAATCCTCTAATGGCGGACTGCATAAGCAAGAAGAGATAACAGAATCAAATCCTACGATGAAAAAATGTCAATCCGAACGACTGCCTGAATTGCCTATTTTTTTCAGTCTAAATATGCGATCCAAAGATAAGATTTATGAGGTCAAAGAATCAAAGGGTCTTGAGGGAAGAAAGAGTAAGCACATAAGTACCCGACGTTCTTTGTTCAATGGTTTGCTCAGAAGCCATACATTGTCACGGGGATGTAAGCCAAATGAAAATGAGGATAAGCATACAGAACAAAGTTTTGATCCTTTGAATGGTCCAGAGGAAAAGGGGACATCATACAAAATAGGTCAGGAGCCACCTGAAAAAATGCCTCATGCCTCTAAGGATCGTTTACTGAAGGAAAAACTGCCTCATGAAATGAAGCGCGGATAGAAAGGAAAGATAGACCACTTAAACGTTTCTTAAGGTTTTAACAGGATCCCTAACCTCACATTAACTCCTAATTGGTGTGATATACCCCTTGCAGTTGAGCGTGCACTGATTTGTTTATAGACACCTCCCAAAAGGTGTCTAATGGAGTTGGGTGTAATCTTATGTATAGGCTTGGAAAATCCTAAAACTACTGAACTCTATAGAAATGTAATATTTTTGCCTGAAACCATTTAGTTGGTGTTTGCCACTTGTAGTTCATGTAAAGTGCTTTGTTAAAGTCATTCTGTAAAGAAGTATCAAAGTAAACATGAATACATTGATATATATATATATACATTCTTTGAAAAGTTAGATTGAATTCTTTGTAGAAGAAGTAACAAATGCAGTGAAATACCATTGGAATGAGCTCCAATTTTTTTACTACTGCACGGTAAGCGGGATCATGAAAACATGTCAATGTACTCTCCTGATTTCATGTAAGCAAAAGAGTAAATTAAAGAACAATCCAATCCGTAGGGTATATGGGTCTGGTTCTAGACCAAAATAAATTTGACGGATACGGATATGGAATATGTAGTTCCGGCTCATATCGAAACCATTGACAGCCCTACTCATATGTGTGAACTTTTCGAATCAAGTTCGGATATATCTTGTTTTGAGTCAAATTCGAGTACGAATCAAATGAAGCCTGTATTGATCGAGTCGGAGTAGAACTAGACTCGAGTAGTTTCGAATAATTTGCAAGACAACTTGTTTGATTAATTGATTACACCCCTAGTTCAACCAAACGTCCAAAAGACTTCAATCTAATCCATTTTTATCATGCTAATGAAAAGGAGATCAAGCAGAGCTTATTGGAAAACTGAAATTAAATTGATAAAAGTGTTGAGAAGTTTGCTCAAAATTAAAGCATGAATATCAAGAAAAAGTGCAACGCTTGTAGATTTTAGCACACGACAAATCACAAATACTAAACTGAAATACACCTAGAACGTACACAGCCTAACCAACCAAACATGGATGAATCAAGAATGGATTGTGCCTACTTCCCAAGGAAGACAGTGGTGAGAACAGACTCAGTTTGTAGAGAAGCCTTCAACAATTTCAATCCCTGATAACAAATAATCATCACTATATATAAGTCATTTGTCTATGTAGCATACCACCTCAAACAATGCAGCAAATTTATATTTAAAATGCTTGGTGAACACCGACAAAGTTATCTGTATATAAATAATTTATGTATATCCATATGAAATGTCTGTATAGACAGATAAGGTACGTCAAAAGTGCGCACAGAAAGGTGCACACCAAGCATTTTTTAAATAAATTTTATTTTAATAATGTTTTTTATAAAGCTCTAAAATATATTTAGGCTTGTCTTAGAAAAAACTTAATAAGCATGATGTACCAACGCTAAGTCAAAACAAAATCAGGCGACAAAAGGCAGACGTACTACTCATCACTGAAAAAGATTGCTTTTTTAATTTTATCAGATAAAAACAAATTCAATTTTAAGATAATTAAAATCAAATATAACTATTCATGTCTGTATTGTATACTTGATACAACAAAAAATTCCATAAGTAGGTGATGGATAGTCTACCCGGGGTATATATCCGAAGGGTTATTACGGGGAATAACTTAGAGAGAAGTCAGAGCAAGTAAGTAAAAGTAGAGAGAGTGTATTTAGTATGAATGCCGTTTTCAGCGTGGTTACAAATGGGGAAATGGGGTGCTATTTATAGTAGCAATAAATGCCGGGCAGGGACACGTGTCAAGCGCTCATTGGCCGAGGGGTCACCTCAACTGGTTGGTGCTGGCAGCCGCATGTGGCCGCATTTAATGCGGCTGTTGGACGGGACGTCTGTGCGGGGTACGGTGATCTGTACGCATGTGAGGCGGATATCTTGTCGAGTGAGATGCCTTCGGCTATAGAGCAGTAGCCGAGGGCTCTTCCACCCGATGGCACCCTGGTGCCGAGGGCTCACAGTGCCGAGGGCTACTGTTTTCGCCGTTTTCTCCCAGTTTCTTAATTTGCTTGAGAAACCCGTTCTGTGAGAATTTGGAGCCTTCGGCCAGGGGGCCGAAGGCACCCCGGGCGCGTTGTGCGGGCTGCTTGGTACTCTGGGCGCTGTGATTTGGGCCTGTTGGGCCTGTTGGGCCTTCGCTGGAGTAGTAGAAGTCTGTGGACCGGGGGTTCCCGGGCCATATACTCCATCAGTAGGTTTAGAATATACTCCGTAAATAAATGGAACAAATAGGTCTAACTATATATCATTACTTTCTTCCTAATTAAATACGTACTATGAGTTTGAGTAAATTCCCTAAATACGAGTAAAAAAGTTTTAAAATCCGAAATAGAACTATCATGTTTTTTATTCCCTAAATAGGAGTAATTTCTGCCAAGTTTGACATTACTAGGCTTTTAAACATGTCAATTTTTTTCAAACTTGGCAGATTACTCCTATTCAAAGAATAAAAAACATGATACTCCTATTTTGGAATTTCAAAACGTTTTACTCCTATTTAGGGCGATTTCTATATGAGTTATTCACACATGAAGTTTCATTCTTTTAACAGAATCAAATCAGCCAAATTGTGAGTATAAAACATAATTACTACACGTTCAATCTATGTTTTGGTACTATTTGGAACAATATCTGCCTATAATACATCCTTCCCCTTAAGATTATTGACACAAATATATATTTGGTGCTTTTTTAAAGAAAAATAATCTCTTCGTCCCGCTAACGGACAAGAAGGAATCACGCAAACCAATAAAAAGTGATATATGTGGTTAATATTGAATTGATAAACTAAGAATAAAGTTAGAATGATTTACAATCACACAAACTTTGTCAAATTTGGTATGAGACAATCTTAGTAGGACGAACCGAAAAGGTAAAATGAAATAATCTTTAGCGGGAAGTAGAATGATATGATGCATATTAACAAGAAGTAAAATAAAAATGGTTCTCTCCGTCCTCTTTTAGTTAATAAAATTTGACTTTTCAAGTTAATAGTGTCTAATTCTGACACATTATATATTTATATATAGAACTATTGACAAAATGAAAATGATATGAAAATGTTCTTTGTAAAAAATATTATCAAAAAATATAAAATTACTGCATATTAAATTTCGGATAAATATATTAGTTAACATAATTGGTAGAGTTCATCTTTTATTGGAAAAGTATGGAGTATCTATTGGTTCAAATCAATTATTTGTACTTACCCTTATATCCATCGATACCCATCAATGTGGAGGCTTTTGTGCAAGTCAATTTCGTTCACAAACAAAACATGTCTCGTTTTACTTTTGCAAAACAAGACATGTTTTATATGTGAATGTGATTCATATATAGATAAAAATAGAAAAAAACATATTACATCCGTTCCAAAAAATTTTGTCATTATCAAAACTTTGACCGATTATATCTTTTTATTGAAAATTATTTATAATATAAAATCTATATAAAAATGTTCTTTGTTAAAAGTATTTTCATAAAAGTATAAGATTTATAACTTTCATAATATTATATTAATCAAAATCAAGTTTCAATTTTTAGAAATGACAATGTTTTTTAGGACGCAGGTAGTATAACATTAGTAGACATATGAGTGGGTATAAAAACTAATTTCTTCGTTCTTTAATTCTTGCAACATTGTGATTTTTACATTTTTCACAGACCTTACTTTGATCACGATTTTCTACTAATATACATAATCAATTATTACGTATAAAATGTTATTAAATTTCTATCAATGTGATTTTCCAAAATATCAAATTTTTATAAAATTTACTGATACATAATTAAATATAATTACAGTCAAAATTGTGGGTAGGTACAGCATATTATCAAAGTGGTGCAAGAACTAAAGAAGAAATCAAAGTGGTGCAAGAACTGAAGAATGGAGCATAGTATTTTTGATGGGCATATAAATCGTACATATAAATTTTTCGTACGTACCGCATCCACTCCCAAGTTGACAACTTTAACCTCAAGGGATCCAAAGTCTTTGATGTTTTGCTCTTTCAGGGCGGTGATAGTAGAAATGGTTGACTGTGGCATCACCTTGAGGTCATCCATGACCATATAGGTCGCCACACCCCTCACAAACCCACCTCCTTCACCTTTACTGGAAGGAGCCGCCTCCGCCGCTGCCGGAGCAGCCACAGCAGGAACGTAGCTCATCACTGCGTTCATTTTATTGTTACAGGTCGGACAATAAGCTGCCGCGTCGTTAGAGTACCGTGCAGCGGTGCGGCAAGCATAGCTAGTATGATTGTGGGTGTAGTAGTTAGGACAAATATAAACCTCTTTGTTACGCACCGAAGCCGCCGGCGGCGGCGGCAAGGGGAGTGGCGGCATTTGTGAAGGAAATGGTGTTTGCACTTTCGGGTTCAAGAAGGTATCCTTGTTCGTTCCTGGCTGCAAGTAAGTGTCGCTGAGGTCCGAGATACTGCCGTAGAGTTTGCCAAGCGCGCCCACCATGGATTTCTCTGTAACAAGATTTATGACGGTCCCCAGCGGTAATGACATGAGGTAGAACAAGAAGTCCACGAATGGCTTCTGGGCTTCCGCAAACACCACTTTTTGGGCCTTCTTGTCGATGAGGAGCTTCAAGCTCAACGCCGGAGCTGCGGCTGCCATTGTCGGACGGAAGGCCGTCGGTGAATATCGACGTCCGTATCACCGTGTGTGGCGGTGTGTACGTGGGGAGGTACGTTGGTACTTTGCACGTGCTGAATATGGACGGGCGATTGCTCACCAATTGAAGTGATCCCAAATGGACAAACACAATTATATTACTTCCATTCTAAGTTGGCTTCTTTTTTGTTAAACCTTTAATAGAAATTAGTTGAAGTAGGATTAAAAGTACGTCAAAAACCCAAAATATTAGTCCAAATGTAAATATACCTATTTTTTCATTCAATTCTTACACTTCCTTTAAATATGAGTTAAAAATAGTCAAAAGTCATAATTAAATGTTTAATTCATAATAAATTCTAAAAAAAAAAATTATAGAAAAATAATAAAAAAAATTATAAAATATTTATAAAATAAAAATTCAAAAAAAAATATTAATTTTTTTAAAAAATAATAAAAAAATACTCTGTAGTAAAACTTCATAGAAAAATTTAAAAAATTATGGATGTCTTTCCCATCGCCTGTGCTACCTGCCTGCACTACCACCTCCGGCCGTTGAAAAAAATGTCATTTTCCCTAAAACATGTCATTTTTTATGAAAATGTCAAAAAAGAGGCGGCAGAGGCGGTGGTGATTTTTTTTGAGTTTTTAATTTTTAATTTTTTTTGAAAAAAAAAATTATTATAATTATCGAAATACTTTTATTTATTTTTTTGTATTTTTTACGAATTTTTATTGTGTTTTATTATTTTATTATGAATTAAAACATTTTAATAACTATAAGGGTATATTTGTCCAAGACACACATAATTAGTCCTATGAAAACATAGTTTATTTTTTTATCCTATTTATGCAAATTGAGTGACTTTTAGTCCTATTTTGATATTTAACTCAACCTTTAATGGACAAGTAGAACTTAGTGGGTATTTTGAAAATAATAATCTCAACTATTGTCAGTCTGTCGTTAATAATCCTAACTATCGATTTTTTCTGGGTGGTCCCAACTATAGGGACTATTTTCTAAAACTAGTCTCTGACCAGTTACAACCTCGAATAGCAGGTTATTTTAAAATGTGAACTATGTGGATGCTTTAAATAATCTCAACTATAGTTGACCATTCATTATTAATTCCAACTATGAACTCTCAATTTTTTTGAAGATGTAAGTTTTTTATAAATTTCCGAACTGAATATTTTTAAACATGTATAAACAACTAAAAAAATTATACAAATGTACCAAAGTTAAATAAAATATTTTTAGTCATTTTTTGATTTATTTAAATTATTTCTTTTTCCCCCTTTTTCCAATTTGTTTTTCCCAGTTGTGTTACCAATTTATGATTTTGTATTATTTTCTTTTATTCAAAACTACATTTTCAGTTTTCAAAAAAGAAAATAATGATTGATTTTTTTTATGATATCTTAGTTCTAGAAACCAAAATGTTCTATTTTTTCATTTTGGTATTTCTATTTTCTTTATTTTACATTATTATATTCTATAAATTATAGTATATAGTTCATCATTTAATTTTAGTGATTTGAGGTATACGTTTTAGAAGTGTTGTGTATTCTTAATGAAAATATATTAATATTTTAATTTTGAGTGATATAATGGAAATTGTAAAACTGTAGAAGAAAAAGTGTATGAAAACGATAATAATAATCTCAACTATTTTGGTAGGTAGAAAAAATGTGGACTTTTGGTAAAATTTTGGTAAACATTTTTTATCGTCATTTCAAGCTATTCACATTTTTAACGTTGGTAGAAATTAAAAATACTAAAATGGAATTAATAGAATATTTAGATTTTTAGATTAAGCTAGAATAAAGATCTAAATTGTAAAATTTTAAATCACAATTTACTTTTTGAAAATAGAAAATGTAAATTTGAATAAAGGAAAATAATATTAAATGATAAATTGGTAACATAACTGTGAAGAGAACAAATTGGGGGAAAAAATAGTGAAAATAAATAAAAAATGACTAAAAATATTTTATTTAATTTCGGTACATTTGAAGAATATTTGTAATTAATTTTTCATGCTTAAAAATATTTAGTTTGCAAATTTATAAAAATATTTCTATATCTTCTTAAAGTTGTGAGTTGATGGCTAGTTGGGATTAATAAAAAATGTCAACAATATTTGGGATTATTTAAAGCTTACACATAGTTTACATTTTAAAATGACCTACTATAACAAGTTGTAACTGGTTGGGGACCATTTTTGAAAAATGATCCCTATAGTTGGATCATTCAAGAATAATCGATAGTTGAGATTATTAACGACGGATCAGCAATAGTTGATTTTTTTCAATTTATCCTAAAAAACACGGCATACTACGTAAAAACATAATAGTCTTATTTTGAAATTCTCAAACGTTTTTTTGTATTATTTTGAAATCCAAACTTAAACGAACATAAAGTAGTATTGAACTTGTAGGTGTGTATATTGCCCCATAGTCGACTTTGCGAGTTCCAAGTTCCATCCCACGTAACTAGGATATGATATGATCTACCGGTGGACGTAGCTCAACTGATAGCGAGGGATTGGCACCAGGGTTAGGTCTCGAATTCGAATCACGACATCTGCGATCAAAGGTAATTATGCTAAAAAATGCATAAGGCATCTGCAAGTAACGTGGACAGAGCCCCACTCTCTATATGTCAGATTGAAATTATAGTTCAATTTACATCCTTCCAACATATCGTTCGATCATTGTTGGGGAGCCTCAGGAAAGGGGTGTCATCTTTTTTTGATATGATATGATCCAGTCATCCAATAGATTGAAAGTGCTTATACCGTACGACCGGTATACGGTGAGCACCGTATACCGGTATACGGATATATATTTTTTTCCTTTTGTTTTTAAAAAATGGTAATAACTTTTTTATTTTTGATCTGATTTTTATAAAATTTATATCAACATTTTTTATTTTTCATGATCTTTCAAATGAGACCAATATTGCCTATGTAATTTTAACATATTAACATTTGCGTATAAAATATGTAACTTTACGTGTTAAAATATGTAACTCACGTTCAGTCAGGCCAAATGCAACTCGTGTGTATAAATATGTATCTCTACGTGTAACAATATGTAACTTTACGTAAAAAAATATGTAACTCGCGTTCAGACAGGTCAAATGCAACTCGTGTGTATAAATATGTAACTCGCGTGTATAAATATGTAACTTTACGTGTAAAAATATGTAACTTTACGTGTAAATATATGTAAGTCGCGTTCAGGCATGTCAAATGCAACTCGTGTTTATATATATGTAACTCGCTTATAAAAAGATGTAACTCGCTTATAAAAAGATGTAACTTGCTTATAAAAAGATGTAACTTACTTATAAAAAGATGTAACTCGTTCATAAAAAGATGTAACTCAATGTATTTTCAAATGTAACTGAGACCACTGATCCACTCCCAAACAGATTCAATCTTCTATTTCACAAACCTATCATCTAACAAACAGATTCGATTTTCCTTATAATCCAATACTCATTAATATAATAGTTCGATAATTTCTTAACATTACATAAGCAATATTGGTCTCATTTGAAAGATCATGAAAAATAAAAAATGTTGATATAAATTTTATAAAAATCGGATCAAAAATAAGAAAGTTATCATCATTTTTAAATAACAAAAGTAAAAAAAACAGGGAAGCTACGTCATTTTGCAAAGCACCATCCTGATGTGACAGTTGCACGGTTATAATTTGCCATAGATTGAGGAGGGGAAGTCGGAAAGCCGGAAGTCGGAAGGCGTCTTTAATGACGACGAAAATCGTGAAATGAGTTTACTCCATTCCAATAAATATATTCCAAAGGAGGGGAAGTCGGAAAGCCAACGGTCAAAGTTAATTGGAAAATGGCACGTACTACGTATTATGAGTCAGCACCTCTTTAAAAAGATATACTCCCGGGTATTCTTATAAAAGTGGCAAATTGGACTACATTTTTTAAATTCTCTTAATACAACCGATGGAGTATATGGCCCGGGAACCTCCGGCCCACAGACTCCTACCACTCCAGCGAAGGCCCAACAGGCCCAGAAGGCCCAGCAGGCCCAAATCACAGCGCCCAGAGTACCAAGCAGCTCGCACTATGCGCCAGGGGTGCCTTCGGCCCCCCTGGCCGAAGGCTCTAAATTCTCACAGAACGGGTTTCTCAAACAAACTAAGAAACTGGGAGAAAACGGCGAAAACATCAGCCCTCGGCACTGTGAGCCCTCGGCACCAGGGTGCCATCGGGTGGAAGAGCCCTCGGCTACTGCTCTATGGCCGAAGGTATCTCACTCGACAAGATATCCGCCTCACATGGGTACAGATCACCGTACCCCGCACAGACGTCCCATCCAACAGCCGCATTAAATGCGGCCACATGCGGCTGCCAGCGCCAACCAGTTGAGGTGACCCCTCGACCAATGAGCGCTTGACACGTGTCCCTGCCCAGCATTTATTGCTACTATAAATAGCACCCAATTTCCCCATTTGTAACCACGCTGAACACACTGAATATACTCTCTCTCTACTTTCATCTACTTGCTCTGACTTCTCTCTAGATTACTTCCCGCAATAACCCTTCGGATATATACCCCCGGGTAGACTATCCATCATTTGGTGCTCTCGTTGAGAGCTTGAACAATCGAGTAAGAAACCCTCCCCCTCGACCAAACACAAACACTAGCCCTCTATCAAAATGGTGAGGACAACACGTGCCAACTCAAAGAACGTAGAAGACAAGAACCTGGCCCTCGGCGACGTCAACGCCCCCGAAGCCTCGAACAGGGCTCCCGAGGGCGGTGTCCTCGCTGGGCTGGAACAGGCGGCTGTCGACCTACGCCTTCAGATCCAACAAAACGCCCCCGATGCCCGCCTCGGCATCGAGGCCAAGAAGAAAAACCGGAGCGATGACCAAGTCAGCCCTCCGGTTCTCACCATTTACGTACAATCGGCGCTCTCCGCCTTCATCCAAACGCTCACCCAGAACCCGGGTGCCTTCGGCACCCTGGCTCCAGCTCACCCTCAGATCGGGGAAAATATCATACTTCCCCCTCTGCCACACCCCTTCGGAAATCCCACCCCTCGGGTGAGAAAC